TGATAATTATGTATAGGTCTTAAATTCCTTGCAGTTGCGTATCATTGAAGTTGATATTACATTCTGAAAATGATTGGAAAACGTGAGTTTTTGATCAAACAAAACACCCAGATCGTTTGATTCCGTGATTCGCGTTAAACTTTCACCATCTAGTACATAGTTGAATGTTACCGGTAATATTTTACATGTGAATGTCATTATTTTACATTTATTTGTGTTTAAGTACAATTTATTACTAGTACACCAATTAGTCAAAGAATTTATGTCCTCCTACAAAGTGAAACAGTCTGCTTCATCTTAGATTTCACGATATATTTTTATGTTATCTGCAAATAGCAATTTATGAGAAGTGATATCATGGGCAATGTCATTTATAAATAGTATGAATAATAACGGTCCTAGATTAGACCCTTGTGGGACACTCGAACTCGCTAAAAAGCAGGAGGATTTTATACCATCACATTCAACATAACTACATCGGTCGGATAAATATGATTTCATGAGCATCTGAATATTAGATGATATGCCAAAATTTGACAGTTTCTTTAGTAGCTATTGATGTGGCACTTGATCAAACGCCTTGCTGAAGTCCGTATAGATGACAGGGCCTTGACGCTTATTATCAAGTACATCAGAGACAAATTGAGTGAAAATACAGATATTAGATTTGAATACAGGGCAAACTTTTCACAATTTCCATATTTTAGGGAAATGCGATTTTTTATAATGGAGTTATATATAATCTCTAGCGGCACCGAAATGCTACTTATAAAAGCGTGTTTTTTAGTTTTTTAAACTATATTTATTTCATAATGTGATGACAGGATTATCACCCATATTCTTAATTATATTTCAGGAGGTTACAAGCGTCATGAGTTTTGCTTCCAGCTCAGGGGGTGTCCCTTTGGATAGGGTCCTTGGTAGTCCTGATCCAAGTAAATGGTCTTCCCAACAATTGGAAGCAAAGATGGATGTAGTCCATAGCTTATTAGCAATGTTGGGAGGTCAAGATCATGTTGACATGGGTGAAACACTACTGGCTCTCAGCAGTTGTCCAGAAAGTTGCCTTGCTATGCGGCAATCAGGTATAAATTTAATATTAGATTGCGGAATCATTTCAATTACACGAAACATTTCAAAAGTATTTATATACCAGTACCAGGTACTTTTCAATATTCAAAATATTGGAGTATATATCAGCTCTAAGTATTTTCATACTTTTTCCAATCCACAAAAATTGGGAAAAAGTCTGGGCTGGGGCATCGTTAAAGTCTTGGTGATGATTGAGCCCTAGTTTTGACCATCATATCCATACCCATGCTATATCAACGATTTGCTCACTCTTTTCTTCGATTACCGTGCATCAGGAGTTGTTGCCAAATAGTCTTCTGGTCATTATGGAGTATTATCTTACCAAAGCCTTCGATTGTGTAGACCACATCGCAAGCTAGAAGTTCAGGGATTTAGAGGATCTGCATTACTTTGGTTTGAAACGTACCTTTCTCATCGGCGGCAGAATGTTCTATTAAATGGAGTTTCATCGGAGGAACTTTTCATTGGCGGTGGGGTCCCACAAGGTTCCATTTTAGGACCGGTGTTGTTTCTCATTTATGTCAATGACTTAGTCCATAAGTGGTAAATTCACATGTTTTGCTTACGACACCACTATCCTCTGGCATAGCAATACTGCCTCAAATGTACTTGATCAAATCATGAAGGGTGAAAGACTGGTGTGATTCCAGTCTTTTATCATTCAACATCGACAAAACAAATGTGGTCACGTTTAGATGTAACATAGGGAAAGTACACTTGGAAAATGTGATAATTAAATTTGGACAAAACAAATTTTTAGCGCTCTTCATTGATGAAAATCTAAAATTTGATTCCAATGTCGACTACTTATGTAAAAGACTAGCAGCAGGATGCCATGTAGTGAGAGTTGTTGCAAGAGAGTTAGACACTACTAAGCATGTGATAAGCTAAACGAAGAAAACGTCCAGTATTGTGGAAAAACAATTCATGGCTTTTGTATCACGGTAATGCACCTGCTCACTCGTCATTGCTTGTTCATAATTTTTTGGATAAAAACAACACGGGAATCCCTCAGCCACCAAGATTGAAAAAACCCATGAAAGCGACAATGAAAGAAATTAAAACTGAATCGCTGACAGGTCTCAAAGTGCATATCAGAACTTATTCGAGGATTGCAAATAACGCTGGCACAAGTCCCCTTCGAAGGGGAAAAAATAGAAATTGATGAGAAAATGAATATTTTTCAAGAAAAATGAAATTTCACCTTATTTTTTGAACAGACCTCATACATTCGAAAGTGATTTGTGAAAGGAAGAAGCTGCAATGTATTTGCATTTCTTTATGAAAGTGTGATAAAAATTAGCTAGGGAAAATGGCTAATTTCAATATTTTATATATGATTATAGACAAGTTTGTTATACCTTGATAATTTTTTCTAAATATTGTTTTTGTTCATACCTGGCCTACTATCTCTGCTATTGAAAAATTGATTCACTGGCAATTTATTTAAATTAGCTCACTTTTCATCCCCAATCAGAGTTGAATCATAAAGAGAATATTTTTTCAGGTTGTATTCCGTTATTAGTTAAATTAGTCCAATCAGACAGAGATGGAGATACAAGAAGAAAAGCCGCACAAGCATTACATAATTTAGTTAATTCGCAAACGGACGAGAAACTACGAAAAAGAGAAGTCAGAGTCTTGAAGCTCACAGAACAGTGCAGAGCGTATACAGATGCTCTTAGGAATAATACAGAGTATGAACCTTTAGAAAGTAGTAGTTCAATTTCAGAAGGTAATTTAAAGGATTATGAAAATTCATCATTTCAAAGCAACCTTAAATTATTTTCAGATGGTGATAAACATCCTGTTCAGACTGTTGCACATCTAATGAAATTATCCTTTGATGAAGGGCATCGGCAGGCAATATGTCAACTTGGAGGAATATATACAATTGCTTCTTTGGTAGAGGTTGGTTGAAATTGTTATCATAGTATAGGAACACAAATATACGATAATAAGTAGAAAAATGACAACAAAAAAAAAACACTCAGTGTGACACAAATAATAGTAAATGTACTTTACATTAGTACAATAGGCCTTTTTATCATGTGAAAACTGCAAGTGTAGTCGCCATGTTGAAAAATTGGTACTTTGAAAGTTTTGTACTGTTCTGTGCAGTAAAGTCTGGGTAAACGATAATTCCACAAAACATACCTTGAGAAAAGTTTGAAGCAAGTTTATCTACAACAGAACACTAAGAAACATAAAATGCACTATTCCTGTTCATCATACTTCACTTTTTGGGACATCCTTCTCCTATTTAGTAGCTTATATGCTAAATAATATCCCTTCGGAGTATCTCAATTTATCTGCTCTCCATCTGAAGAAAAATCTCAAACAGGCTATCCTGAAAGATCAGCCAAATACATTAATTTTAATCCCGCCATATTGTTTCACATCATAGCTATGTTGAACTTGTTTTTGGTCCTGGTTGATATTTTAAATTCTTTTGGTTCATTGGTGAGTAATGTCTTTGTATATTTTACCCAATAAATGCAAAAAAGTCTCTGACGGCATTTGATCAGGCATTCTGCTAACAATTTCTGTTACATTGATTCCTGATTCCCAAACTGTTCAAGTAATTTGTGAAAAATTTCTGTCAGTTGATTCCTTCATGAACAAAATATTGTATGATTATGCGCTTCTCAATAGAAGTGTGTATTTGTCGCTCCGACATTGATGATGACCCTAATGACCCTAGACAGTAAGGCTAGAAGCACGTGACCTGTATTGTATTGCCAACTTCAGTTACTCATGAACAAAAATCCCTTTCATATTTGATTCACCTCCGTAAAATGAATTTCTTTATTTCGTAGTTTTCTTCATCATCAAAATGAGTGCCAGTCTTTGACTCAATAAGTTTGGATTGAGGAAAAAAATATATTCATCCAAACTATTTGAAGTTGAATAAGCAAATCTATATATTTCACTTTCTAATAATGAAATTGAACGGAATCTTCTCTGAAATTTGCACAATTATTCTATAGATACTGCTTCATTAAACTCACAAGAAGTATTATTAGTGGTGAATTTTTAGATTTGCACTCTTGAATAATTTGCACTCTTTTAGGTGGAACATACAATGCACGGTAGCACGACAACAGAATCCCACTGTATATTGATGCGTAGGTATGCTTGTATGGCCCTTACAAACCTCACATTCGGTGACAGCGGCAACAAAGCTTTACTATGTTCCATTAGGGAATTTATGAGGGCGCTGGTGGTGCAGCTGCAGAGTCCTAGTGATGAGTTGCGACAGGTATTACGCTACTTTAGATTTTTAGAAAAAATGTTTTTGTAGATCTTGAAATTTTGTTTCTCAGAGAAATGATTTGTTTAACAGTTTTATCAAAATTTTAGAATAGTTTTATTTTGATATGAATTACAAATCCATATTAGTTTCATTCGTCGTTGAAAATTTCAAACATTAACACCTAATTGCCAAGTCATTAGAACTGTTGTCTACTTGGTAAATTGAACTATTGTTATACTTATTCTCATTGATGACTTTGTAATTAAGGACTAATTTTTATTCAGTCGATTACTAGATTATCAGATGTAGAAAACTAATAAGTTGAATTTCAAAAATCAACAGTTATTTCGATCATTTTTGTTATTTAAACGTCTTGAGTTGTTGAAAATTCTGCTAAGGGTTTAAACTCACTTGGTTTACTTGTCTTGATCATCTGATACAGTGTGTTTAAGATAAGGAAGGCTAGCTTGGGAAACTCTTCAATCATACTAGATACATAGTCGCCTGCAGCTTCAAATTTTAGGAAATTCTAATCATGTTCAATCAGTGAAATTGTCGTCAAATTTGCTGAAGCGAACGTATCAAGAGAGGCAGCACTAGTATTAGGGATAAACATGAACTATTCACATATAAAACAGTGTTATTTACGTAATATTAATTTATTATTTAAAAATATAAATCTGATATTAAAAATTATTTTGTGCTAATATAATGCCAACAAAGCATTGGCATATCTCATGTTGAAAGAACAACCTAAAGAGACAAATATGCTATTTATCTATCTATCTACCGTTTGAATCTACCGCTACTCTTTTACTAGAGTCTGTATACTAACCTGTCTATTAATTAATTTTTTTCCAGTTACTTTTGAATTACGGCATGCAAGCCAACGTTTTAATGTTACAACATTGTTATCCTTTACAGTTGCAAATTTTAGTTTTGCTCTAATTATGATAAGACATCTGAAATGTTATAACATTTTACTATGATACATATTCAAAAGTGTGTTGATCGAATTTCCAAAGACTTGTATTAATTTACAGGTAACCAATTATGATGAGACATCTGAAATGTTATAACATTTTACTATGATACATATTCAAAAGTGTGTTGATCGAATTTCCAAAGACTTGTATTAATTTACAGGTAACGGCAAGTGTTTTGAGGAATCTCTCATGGCGAGCTGATTCTACTTCTAAGGAAATTCTGAGAGAAGTAGGTGCTGTGACGGGTCTTATGAAAGCTGCCATGCTGGATAACAAAGAAAATACTCTGAAGTCGATTTTATCAGCTTTATGGAATCTTTCTGCCCACTGCACAGAAAATAAGTCTGAAATTTGTTCCGTCGAAAACGCATTGGGATTTTTGGTGAATATGTTAACCTACAAAACTCCCTCAAAATCTATGGCAATCATTGAAAACTCTGGTGGAATTTTGAGAAACATTTCTAGTCAAATTGCGGTCAGGGAGGATTACAGAGAAATACTTCGGAAACATAATTGCTTGCAAATACTGTTGGAACAACTAAAGTCGCCTAGTTTGACTATTGTCAGTAACGCTTGTGGTACTCTGTGGAACCTGTCAGCAAAGTGTGCAACAGATCAGGAAATTCTGTGGGAACTGGGCGCTCCAAGCATGCTGCGAAGCCTAAATCATTCTAAACATAAAATGATTGCAATGGGGTCTAGTGCGGCATTGAAGAATTTACTTAATGCCAAGCCGCAGCAAGTTTTGCAGCCACAGTTAGACTCTACAGCTCTTTCTCTGGATTTGCCAATGTTGCCAACTTTGGGGGCAAGGAAACAGAAGGCCCTGCTTCAAGATTTGGATCAGAGCTTGTCTGAGACGTACGAGAATATCGAAAAAGATTCGCCGGTTAGAAAATATGACAAAGTTGATGAGATGATAGATTTCCCTCAAGATTCTCGAGGCAAGTCCAAACTTAGTTCAAAGTCCCATTTTTTAGATGAATCTCAATTGTGTAGCAATTTTGTTAATCTGAACTTGAACGAGCCATCCACAAGCTATACCAGTGATCTTAGGTTGACACAAAGGATGCAACATAATTATGGAAGCTCTAGTTTGCCCTACATCAATATCAATAAACATAACGGTTCTTCTAATTACATACCTGTGAGAAATAAGTTTTCCGATTGTTCTTACGAAGATGAAATTGATGTAAGCGATCAACCTATAGACTATAGCAAGAAATATTCGGAAACAAAATTACCAACTAGTGATGCCAACAATGTATCATCCAATGAAGAACACGAGTTTTCGTACAGTAATCAAGAGACTGAGAAAGAAAATTTTAGTATGTACGCAGAAACTGATCTTGATCAACCAACTGATTATTCTTTGAGATATGCCGAAGACGATTCAGGTTCTGAAATTTGTAGCAAAATAACAAAAAACGAACCGCAAGAGTATGTTCAAGACACTGTGAAGACATACTGCACTGAAGATACACCATATGAAACACCTTTCAATTTCTCCACTGCGACTTCAATGTCTGACCTGAGAGTAGACGAGAAACCAGTTATAGACAACGATAAGCAGGACGTGTGTCGGCCGAAAATCAAGAAAGAAACAAACCAAAACGCGGAAGAAAAAGATCGGTGTTCTATAGAGGATATTTCGGAATTAGAAACACACTCCAAATTATGTGATAAAATACCAAAGTCTGAACTGAGTTCGGGACTGCTGTCTCCTGAGAAGCCAGTCAACTATGCTGAAGAAGGCACTCCGGGATATTTTTCTCGGGTCAGTAGCTTCGGTTCTCTAACGTCCATTCCGGCGAATGAAAACCTTAAGGAATCCAAGGTTGATGAAAGCCCACCCTCAAAACAAGAAAGTATACCCCGTTTGAAATCAAATGAAAAAGTGTCGCCAAAAAATCCAGGCGAAACTAAGGCGGTAAAGTTCGAGAGAGTTGTTAACTACGCTGAGGAAACTCCCTTGATGTTTTCAAGGTCTAGCTCTCTGGCTTCTCTAGATAGCATAGAACAACATTCTATACATGACGATAGAAGTTCAGTTGTATCAGATTTCAGGTGAGTGTTATCTTGTTTTACTTTATTGTTCTAAGATACAAAAAATCTTCTTGACAACTTTTACATGTTCTATGTAAACACATAGAATACATAACAAATATGAAATGAACACTGAACAATGATTGTTAGGCTCAGTAAAAATAAGTTTCTAAATACATATCTTTACGATTTTTAGTCGCCTGCCAAGTGGTATCGTCTCTCCTAGTGAGCTACCAGATTCACCAACTCAAACTGTTCCTCCAAGTCCTAGAACAAGGCAGACATCACTAGGTTTTCCTTCTACATCTAAATCCCGAATGATACCTGAAGGCCAAACACATCATGTTGTTAGATCTATTCCAAAACCTGGTATTTTTGAGGATAATGTTACGAAGTTCAAAGAAGAAAGTACACCAATTCAATTTTCGACAGCCACGAGTTTGAGTAGCTTGACTATCGATGATCATGAAGAGACAGATGAACAGGTTTGGTTTCTTTTTTATACTCATTTCAGTTGTGAGATTGCAGTAATTTACAGTGTTTGGGCTTTAATTAGAGAACAGGAGATTTTGAAATTATTAATATGCTTTTCATCTTCGATGGAACCTCCCAATTTTTGATNAAGTGTGGCTGAACAATTGACTTGTAAACTGTGATACTTGACTCGATTGAAAGATTACTAGCAAATCTAGAGAAAAAAAATAATTTTTTTATGATTATACTCAAAATGTTCATCAAATGATAAAGTGTTATCCATCATGAATCACAGATATTTAATTGAATTCACTAATTCAATTCTTTCATCATCAGTTCTGAGGTTAATAATTTTTGAGTCTATTTGGCTGTATTTAAATTTGGTGGTGATTATCATTGCTTTTGTTTTCAATACATTCAGCTTTAGTTTATTCGTTTTCAAATAATTACTGACACTTTCTAGATTATTATTCATTTTTTATATAGCCATTTCGATGTTCATGTCGCTACATGCCAATAGAGTATCATCAGCAAAAAAGTTCATAAATTCACAATCAACAAACAATGGCATGTCATTTTAATATAGTATGAATGGAAGGGGACCCAAAACACTACCCTGGAGAACCCCAACATCATTGTCAATTTCACAAGAGAATATGTCTTTCACTCTTACCCGTTGTTTTCTGTTGGTCAAATAATTAGATAACCAATTGTACACTGTGCCCTCTATTGCATATATATTCAATTTAGCTAGTGGTATAGACCTATCAATGGTCTCAAATGCTCTTTTGAGGTCAAGGAACACTGCCACAACAAACTTATTATTATCCAGTTCAGTTTCAAATTTACTTAAAGATGGTTGCACTGAAGACTCACACGAGTCCATTTGGCGAAATCCCGAATGATTGTTGATTAAAATGTCTTTTTTTTTAACATATTCCATTAGTTGATTATAAATTGCTGTTTCTAGTACCTTTTCAATCGGAGGTAAAGTGTTGGTTGCTCTGAATTCTTTAGCTTTAATGGTATGAGGAATTTTGAGTATCGGAACAGTAGTACTAGTTTTCAATCTTTCAGGCATTTGGTCAGTTTCAAGAGAGGTGTTGATAAGGTGCAATATAACATGACCGATAGTCTCAAAAACTTGTTTCAATATTTTGGAGTTAATGATTTCATGTACACTGCACCAAGGAAATTATAATTTTACATAGGTCAGTTAACGAAAGCAATCTGAATTCAGAGAAAGTGTTGTATAAATAGTTTTTATTTTATTTTTTTATTATACTATATAGTTTTTATTGCACCATGACTGTATAGTCAATACTATCCACTATTTCATTTATGCTTTCAACTAAATAACTGTTGAAGTTATCTGACATTTCAAAATCATCTCTCAGTAATATAAGTTCGCCAGTTTTCCCAAACTGTATACAATTTGGAAAGTCAATGTCATCGCCTTTAACTAGTTTTTTGAGAGTTTTCCACATTTTAATTTTATAATTTGAGAGCGGGACATTTTTTCAGAGGAATTCAATCAAACATAATGACGTTATTCAAGAAGAGGACGAGGCTCGGAAAGATGAGATGGAGAAAAAAGATTCTGAAAAAGATGCCGCTGCCTCTGATACCAATGATGAATTTGTTGTGGAATCTGAGGACGATGGGGATGAAGACATTTTAGCTGACTGTATTAGCATCGGGATGCCAACTAACAGGTGGGAAGGATTTTTATTTTCAATGAAACTTTTTTGTTATTGATACCATATTGTGAATATTACCTACAACCAGTGAACGTAAACCAGTGTCGATTAGTTACAGTAGATAGACTGATATTCCCCGAAATTGATATCTATTCCTGTTTCAGGCACAACCAAACTAATTCAAGCACGTCTTCCAGTTCTTCTAAACTTCCACTTTCCAATTTCAAATACACTAAAACACCTCCAAATCAAAACGTTCCATTATCTTCTAATACACAAGTGTTACCTCGTCCAAAAGATTTGAAACAACACTTTGAAGGACAGCAGGACTTGTCCATGGATCAAAGTGATACTCTAAGAGCTTATTGTACCGAAGACACCCCTGTAAGATTAAGTCGGACAGGATCTATTTCGGACTTGAGTGTTCTGTCAGAATTGAATGAATCTAAAGTTGGTTCCAGACGAGGGGATTATTTATCAGATGATAGCAGCAACTTGTCAGGTGAGTTGAATGGTTCTTGTTATAATTGGAGTTTTCCTGCTTTGAAATTATATACCATCAGATTGGAAGCATTGCATACCAAGTACATCTCTAAATTGGTATTAAATTAATAGATGTGAATCTGAATGATATTCTATTCAAAATTGAATTGAGAAATTTCCTTCTTGAAAGAGTATTTTATAATGTTGAAGAATTTTATATCGTGAGACTGACTCTTGTATGTATAATTTTTGTATAATCTTTTATTGATGAATAAATTCTATTATTATTGTTATTATAATCATCAATCAGATCAAGGTGCGCGCGACATATAGGTTTATCAATTGAAAACTCCAACCGTAGAAAAATATCAATTGGTGTCGTTGATTTTATTGTAATTTTTTTTTCACAGAAATAAGTCGTTATTTTGAAATGACTTTTGATTTCAAAAATTATTGTTCAGTAAGCCAGTGTGATAATTATGTATCAGAAATCGTGTCACTATGAAGTTTTCTTTAAAATTTGAAACTAGCAAAGAAATGTGAAAACATACTAAGAATTAATAAATCGGTCGAGGTGAATCGCCGGAGAGTTTCATTGCTCACAAAATAGAGTAATGTACTGCAATAGTCAAAGTGGGGTGCAATCTGAGCAATCTGAGATTGCTATCAACAGTTGTACCTAGAAATTTGCAACTTTCTTGAAATATTATTGTCTGATTATTAATGTTTAGTTGTTCAGTGGAAAATTTTCCTGTTTTGGATCTCTGTAATTGAAACGCAACGGTTTTGGAATAATTTATAATCAAGCGGTTCTTTTCACACCAATTATCAAATTGAAGAATAACGTTGTTTGTTTTTCTGAGTAGCTCATTTGTATCTGGGCTGGATACTATTATAGATGTATCGTCTGCGAACATATAAACCTCTCCATCATTTATGTAATCAGGAAGGTTATTGATGAACAATAAGAAAATTAAGGGGCCGATAACGCTCCCCTGGGGAAGGTCTACGCTACGCATAAAATCAAATCTCTGCTTCCAGAAATGATTAAAATTCAGGGATGTCTTCGTTTTAAGTGTGTCACACTGTACTCATATGTTTGTTTAGTGTTGTTCCAAATCTTGTTAAGGAGTTTTTTTTTCATAAATACTTTTCCTATTACTAATTTCAACGGTTTTTATTATGACTTACATTTTATAATTTCAGGTGATAATGACAACATTCTAGCAGAATGTATTCAGTCTGCTTTGCCAAAACCTAAAAAAGAACCCCCCAAAGCTCCTGCCAAGTCTTTGCCGTCTTGCTTGCCGAGAAGGAACATTCAGACTAATTCTACAATAAAGTACAACCCTACAAGTAATTTGAATCACATTGAAGCCTCAAAAGTTAGGGATATAAATAGGAGAGACAATTCGTTACCACCTTATTTGAATGTGAGAGATGAAGTGGAAAATTATGCAGTCGAAAACAGTCCGTGTCAGTTTTCATTAAGGAGCAGCCTGAGCGATTTAACTGTTGATGGAAGCGTTGCTGGATTGAAAAGGTATGTGATAGAAAAATTTGGAATAGTGCGCGAAGTTTTGAACAAATTTGAAACTAATATTATAAAATAATTCTAGTACTAAAGACACTTTAGTCTCTTTTACAATGTAAGAATTCAATTTTTTTAAAAATCCTTTGACTTGTTTTCATTTCATCATTTTTGGTCACATATTTGTACAATAAAATGGTGTTTGGAATCCATAATTATCTTGTCATAAAAACAAATTTATCTGATCAGATTATTATTATAATTATCTCCTTAATTTGTCTTGATGATATCTTTGGGAAAATAAATAGAGTAGTAAAACTTTATTGTGCTTATCTTATCTACAACTACACATTTTTCATAAAAATGTGTGCTATACCCTCATATTCTTGATTTCTTTGACCCACTAATTTATTTTACTGTTTGGTTCTAACAATACAAACATTGAATAGTTTTCTTCAATTTGTTACCTTACATCTTGTTCTTGAGAAAATATTTAATCAACAGGTCTGGACCAAGTAATCAGCCCGAGGATTCCTTGAATAGTGTTCCCTCAAACTCAGGTAAGTTATTTATTTTCAAGGATAATTTACATTAGTTGCAGTCTGATATTGTAAGACCTATTCTTTAACTCTAAGATCTTGTATGTGCTTCATCCAGTTGAAGTTTTTCCAAAATTTGTGTGATCTCTGCCGTAATGAGTGTATTGAAAAAAATGTTTCCTACGTCAGATCCAAAGCACTGTTTCACCACCTGGAGATGACTAGTCATCTCTTCCTGATTTTTAACTTAATTATTGAAACGTGTGTCGTGAGAAAGTTCTTTATTTCCTGTATGATGTTAATGGGCGGTTTTTTCTTTATTAGTTTTTTGCTTAGAAAGATAAATTTAAGAAATCCCTTAAGCAGTTTTTTTAAGTAATTTTCTAAAACAATAATCTAGGTACATGAAGAATAGGTGAATGATATGAAAATTTGATTTGTGAAGTATTTTTATCCTCTAAGTTTTAAATTTAAA